GGGAGGGAGAGAAAGAAGAAGGGAAAAAAGAAAGATCATTTATTAAATGCTTACTATGTCCCAGGCACTATGCTGAACAGTGGGGTACAAATTCAGGTAATCAAGACAGTCACCAGCCTCAAGGAGCTTACTTTTGAATGGGAAGAAGACCATACATGAAGAGGAAATGGGGGAGGCGGGAAGGAAGACCGAGTGAGGAGAAGCTTGGGTGGAAGCGTTCAAATGGTCGTTCTAGGCAGGGAGTCACTACTGTGGAGAGCAAGGTTCCAGGGCAGAGGTTCAGGGTGACAATGCAACATGTGAAGAGAAATAGGATTCTGCAGAGAGTTGGGGAGTGAATGAGGCAGAATCCATTTTGTGCCTGGAATAGGGAACGCTGAGCCCAGTTGGGTGTTCCATATGGTGAGGAAGGGAAAGAAGTCAGAAAATAGGTCAGTAGGGAACCTGATGCGGTGGAGTATGGGTAATGATGGGGGATGAAAAAGTCTTCCTTACTCTTATAATGCCCTTTCAATGCAATTCAATTCAACAAGCACTTATTAAGCACTTACTGTGTGCAAGTTACTATTCGTTAGACTGACAGCTCTTTGAGGGACTAGTTCTTTTGTTTTTTGCCTTTCTTTGCATCCCGAGCACCAAGCGCAGTGCCTAGTACATAGGAAGTGCTTAATGAATGCTTGTTGACCAACTGAGTGACACATGGAGTGAAAACAGGATGGGGTAGAGTGCTAGAGAGGGCGGCTCTGGGTAGCCAGGAGCAGCACGAGGTCCTTGACCCACATTCTTTCACAGATGTACTGTAAGAGATCTTCCGCCATCCTCCCCCCCACCCCATGCTGGAGGCTTTCCTCTTCAGTTCATTTACTCTTTCTTGAATGCTAATATAAAACTCGGATGATCCTCTAGCTATTAATACATAGGTTTGTAGATTTATAGTTGGAAGAGGCCATCCAGCCCACCCCCCAACTCCTTTTACAGATGTGGAAACTGAGGCCCATGAGGTGAAATGATTTTCCCAAGGTGCCATAAGCATTAACTATGGAACCATGATTCAAA